ATAAAAGCAATAAGCCCCGTGAAGCCGTGGTTTACAGTGATTTTATAACAGCTAAGCTTCACGTCGTGCCTAACAACGCCCCTTAGCTGTTATAAATTCACTGTAAACCACGGCTTCACGGGGCTTATTGCTTTAAGAACACATAGAAAGCACATAGCAACCACCCACAACATTTTCTTCAGTAAAATGTAAAAATTAAAAGGAAAAACAAAAAATTGTGTTTAAATTATTTTTAATTCATTAAATAATTTTCAAAGACATTCAAATCTAAAAACAAAAATCTAACAAAACAAAACTATTCACAAAAAACAGAACACATTGGGTTCTGAATTGTAACGGATGTGAGTGATGTGCATTATAAGCGGTCTTCTTCAGACTGAGAGAACCGAAACAAGTCATTCCACTAAAGCCTCATCGAAACTACCGACTGAATCAGCATGAACACTGTTCGATTAGGTTAAACTAAGAGAGTCCAGAGAATAAGTACAGCTTAGTTCCTCCTCTCTTTCACTCTTTTCTGTATCTCGGAGCTCTCTCTGTCAGAGAGCGGACTGACACACAACACAACTCCTCTGCCCGTCTGATCCACCTGCACGCTCATCATACAGCACATATCCACCAGCTCTCTTTGACAATGCTGAATCCCGCTGTCCACCTCACCGCGTCTCGCCAGGTCTTTCCGTAGCACTCGAGCCTCTGGTGCCATGTAGCCGATGAGTTTGGTGAGCATGGCGTCAGAAAGATCCACATCCAAGTACCCGGTTCCGTCAGATATGGTGGCCCCGAGTTGCCACACGCCACTACTACTGCGCAAATTTCCTACTAGCGTCACGATGAAAGCTTGTAGTCGTAAAACCTGAACTTTGGCGGGCGGCCAACAGCCAGCCTGTAGCATGCAGAGGTACGGTGGTGTAGGCGCATCTCGTTCGCAACCAGAAGATCCAGCTGTGTTTGTAGAGGAACTTGTAACAGATGTGTGAGGAACTTCATTTAAGGTTCTGCTTTGGTTGGTGTTGCTAAGCAGATTTCTAGAGTGAAATGTTTGGCTTGGTTCTTCAGTTTTGTGTCGGTTGGGGAAGTTTGCATCAGGTTCCTCTACGTTTGCAACAGGAACTTCATTTAAGCTTCTGCTGTTAAGCATAGTTACAGAGCGAAAACTTAGAAGGCTTGGTTCTTCGGTATTGGGCTGGATTACATCAGGGTGCTTGATTTCAGAGTGTTCCCGCCTGCTTGGCATGACTTCTGAATCTATCGGGTTGTCCAGCATCACACTGTCCAGCTCCTCTAAAGGGATGTCATCAAAGTCCTCGTCCACCACATTTTGTGGAACGTCATCAAAATCATCTGGAATACCTCTGAAGTCATCATCTGGAATTTCATCCATATCCCAGTCGTCTTCTCTGGAAATGGGCGTCGCTTGAGGACGGGGTTGCGACTGATGTGGTCTGAAGGAAGCTTCTGAAGCCATGCTGTTGTAGCCGCTGTCAGCTACCTGATGATCTACTGGAGCCTCTACGCTGGCCAGGAGCTCCTGGTCATCCGGTTCCTCGCCTTGTGGATGGTTCTCCTCAGGCAAACCGAGTGTCCCGCAAAGCACTCTGCTCTGAGAGTAAATCTCCAAGAGCTGTTCCACCTCCCCACCCAACACCTTCACGTTCTCCGCTTTCAAGAGCAACACCCCGAGACAGACGCTGATTGGGCCGACTAGCTGTAGCTTCGTCCCGGGTGGCAGGTTGGTGCTTAAAGCCGGGATGGGCCGGTATTCCATACCCTCCAGACTTTGCACTCCATCCGTGAGCTGCAACATCAACATACGTGTGGGCTTGGCCTCCCACGGCCGCTGCGTTTCCGGCGTAACCGCCGAGACTTGATCATTGGAGCAGGCGGTGCCCCGAATACGCTGCAGCTGAGTGTAGGCAGGCTGGCTGACGTCTAGCAGGGAGTCCATCTGAAGACAGTAACAGCTGTTTAGTTCTGTTTTCTGTGCCTCGGATATTCTTTCGGGGAGCACCGGGTGGGACAGATCTCGCAGGTCAGTCACTAGCCATTGCTCCAGGATGCGCTGATTCAGCAGCGACTGAGGCACGGATTCGCTAACCGCTTCCACCTTTATCCAGTTCACGCAAGCGTCCAGCCAAGTGTGAGGGACCTGGATGTGCCATTGAGAACGCAGCCATGCCTGGGTAAGCTGGACTTCACCCACTGACATCCTCTCACTGTCCCGAACACTAGAGCTTCATATTTTAAACACAGACAGAGGCAAATGTGTATAAAAGATTTAAGAATTAAGTAAAGACTTTTTAAACTAATGACATTTTTTAAACTTTCAAATCTAAGGCTACAGCATCCAATTATTAAGTTGGTAAATTATATATAAGCATATATATAAGCACTGCTATTCAAAAGTTTGGGATCAGTAAGATTTTTTATCTGTTTTAAAGAAGTCTCATGCTTATCATGGCTGCATTTATTTGATCAGAAATAAAAAAAATAATATTACCATTTAAAATAATGGTTTTCTATTTCAAAATACTTTAAAATGTAATTTATTGCTGTGATCAAAGCTGAATTTTCAGCATCATTACTCCAGTCTTCAGTGTAACATGATCCTTCAGAAATCATTCTAATATGCTGATTTATTATCAATATTGCAAAGACAAACAGCAAAACTGTTCCCAATATTGATAATAAATCAGCATATTAGAATGATTTCTGAAGGATCATGTTACACTGAAGACTGGAGAAATGATGCTGAAAATTCAGCTTTGATCACAGCAATAAATTACACTTTTAAAATATATTCACATAGAAAACAGTTCTTTTAAATTGCAATAACATTTCACAATATTACTGTTTTTTTTCTGTATTTCTGATCAAATAAATGCAGACATGCGCAAAAGAGACTTCTTAAACACATTACAAATCTTACTGATCCCAAACTTTTGAACGGCAGTGTGTATATGTGTATATATATATATATATTAACTTTGTTGCAATATGTATATGATAGTGATCATTAAAAACAATGTTTATACTTTTTCAAATAAAAGACATACTATACAATTAGCAACTTACTACACTCTATTACACTACACTATACTATTTACCAGTATTTGGTAAAATACTCTAAAAAAAAGTAATTAATTACTAGCTACTACTAACTACATCTTCAACAGTGTACTAGTACTAGTTACTTTCTCTAAAAAGTATTGGATTACTTATTACTAGTTTGTAAATCCCATATCAATCTCGACCAGTTGAACAATACAAGGAAAGACATGAATCAGCTCTTTTAATTCTTTCAAATAAATGATATAAAATTGCATAAATTGACCAAAGTATTTAAAGGGAGAATATAACATTAAAAACATACATTTTAATATTAGATGTTAAATTTTGATGTTAAGTACACTATTGCTTTGCGTAGCATTTTTCTAAATTCTGTACAGTTTTTAATGCAATTACATCAGAAGTAACTAATTAAATTACAGAAAAATTAAGAGTAATCCCTTACTTTACTTTTTCATTGGAAGAGTAATTAAATTACTGTAACTAATAACTTAGTAATGCATTTTACACCCAACACTGCTATTTACAACCGTTTTATGATCAGACAAACTCATCCTTACCAGAAAATCACTCCGCATGCAGCCTAATGTGAGAAGGCCACTTCGCTCTAATGAGTGTACTGGAGTCATAACCTACACTACAGGGCTTCTCCTGACTACTTTACTGATATTAATACTTCAAAAACATCACAGTTGCCTCATGTCAAAAAAAAAACTGCGCTTTGCGACACATCAAAAAGTCGTGCTAGCTAATCATAAAAAGTGTTCTTAAAAGATTGACGTTTCTTTTGACCAATGATTGTCCGTGACACTTCTGGAGTCCCGGTTCTGCTGCGGTTTGGACCAATCAGAGCGCGTTTCTTTTGTGGAGGGAGGCGCTTTCATTGGTCCGCGTTCCAGCGGCGCTGGAAAGATTTTGTGCGTCACTGTCGTTGCTTGCGAAGGGGGAGGACGACAGGAACAGGTCGGTAGATGCATTTCCTGACACAAAAATCACCGTATTATTGTTTCTACGCAATTAACCAGTATATTCCAGTGTTAAACAAGTTCACAATCCTAAATCATTGAGGTACTTTTCGTGCACACGGTCGCAATTTGCATAATGTTTTCTTGCTAAGTTAGATCCGTTAGCTAGCTTCATCTCTGTTAGCTAAAAGAAGCTAGCAACCAAGTAATTTCCACAGTTGCTATCCCTCGTGTGGCTTTTATTTTTGTATTTATTTTATTACTATTTTTTTTTAACGCGAGCGTAATAAACATGAGTATAGTTTGGTGAAAAACAAACAAACATACTTGATGGTAGTTAGCTAGCTCGTTAGCTTTCTGAAAGCGTCCATTGTTAATTAGCCAGTCAGGCAGCAGATCCAGTAACGTTACAGGAAGATGGCGACTAACGAATTAATGTTACCGTAATCAAACACAGCGAGCACAACAACGTTAGCAACCATTTGGCGAGTAGTTTGTGAGCGTTTGAACACTCATATGCGCTTGTGCTGCACACAGTGCTGTCTAGGTAACGTTAGGCAGCGCAATAGAGTTTGAGACACAACCCAAGTGTAGGCTTGTTTTCCAGTACTTTACCAGGCAGTAAATAAATTGAGTTTAATTTTGAATGTTCTTGCATTTCAGTACATCATTTTTCCATTGTAGGAGAACAACTACCAGAACATTTAGTTTCAGTTCTTCTTTTGTTTTATAACTCATTATATAGTTGTTTTAATCCTTCCTCCTCCTGTGTTTTGACCCAATCGTGCTCAGTAGACAAAGAGCACTGTTCATTATGATAAGATCACTAAAATTATTATACACAAAAGGTTGGAACTAGCATCCTGTCAGGTCAAATAATGTATTCATTCATGCACTGTTTGTTTTTTTTCCCCTTAGATATCCGCTTGGACAGAGAGGGCTGTTCATCTCCGCTTGTTGTAGATAGATAATGGAGCCAGAAAATGACCCACAGGAAGAGGAGACTTTCAAAGAGAGTAATGGTAAGGTCCAGTGATTTCTTTTTCTTTCTTGTTTTCTTTCTTTCATTCATTCTTTTAATTTTTAATGAAATGAAATGGAAATTGAACCAATGTAATGAATGTTATTGTGCATGCTTTTTCCAAAAAAATTAAATAAATAAATCTATATATATATATGTCCTTGCTCGGTTTTCACTTCCTACTGGATAAAGTCCAACCATACTTTTTTCATGCAGTATCTTGTTAAACCCTGTAAAGTCCTGGGAAAAAAATGTTTTTGTAATGTATGAGTTTATTGAACCTTTAGACAAAATCTAAAGATGTTTTTTTATATATATATATATATATCATGTTTGATATGTCGTGCTTTTTTGGCTCGTATGATATAGGAGAATAAGGAGCTCAGACTCAAGGGGAAAAAAACACAGCGGTTTTATTCAGATGTCCAAACTGAGCAAAAATGTGCAATTCGGTGCAGATGCTGGTATATTTAGCAGGGCTCTACGCTTACTTTTCTTTTTAGGAGCGCTTGTGCTCCTAATTTAAAAAATGTAGGAGAACGGTCAAAAATTTAGGAGCACCTTCTAATCAGTAATCAAAAATTCTGATTAAATAAAATGAAATCAGTATTTAAGAAATAAATTTGTGCTACAGAGTTGGCACAGAAGAACACAAACGTGTATTTTCAGACGTTTACTGAGGCTCAGAGGTGGCATGAGTGCAATTAAATTCATACATTTATGTTGAGCTTAATGTTTTAAATATAACATTTTGAATATAGAAATAAATGATTTAAATAACAGAAAATATATTTTAAAAATTAAACTAAAACTGCCAGCAGGTGGCGATAATAATCATTAAAAGCTGTCACTCATCTTAGGTCATCGCGATCTCACAAAACTCCATTATAATCGACGAAGCTCCCTACACTGCACAATGAATATCTTATTTACACCCTGTCAACACTTTGTTATAATGAGAGGATACGTCTGTGATGCATTACTCAACCGCTGCAGAAACACGTAAGTACGTTAGAACCTTTGAAGCTCCCTCAGCGCAAACACAAATATGCTGATCGGGTCAGTCGCACAGGTGCTCCTAAATATTATTTCATAGTCGCACGCAGTAGTTTTCAGTCGCAAATGCGACTGAAATGGTCGCACTGTAGAGCCCTGTTTAGGGCCACAAATTAAGATGAAATTCTGATAGCTTGTAATATAAATCAGTGTATTATGAATGTCGTTTCAGGTAAGCGTTCTGCTGAGGATACGGAGGAGGACCAGCCTCATAAGCGATCCCGAAACTCTGACGACATGGTGGAGCTCAGAATTCTGCTACAGAGCAAAGTAAGTCGCTGATTTTCCCATCACTTTTGAGTTGCTGTACCTCAATGCTATTGCTGACTGGCTCTTCTCTCCAGAATGCCGGAGCAGTGATCGGAAAGGGTGGGAAGAATATTAAAGCTCTGCGCACAGATGTGAGTACTCTTCTGTTTAGTTTGCACATTCTCACTCTTTCCATGCAACACAAACTGTGGTAGGTGGAGCTCACATGTCTAGAACTGGGGTATATTTTATTATATGTATTAAAACCAACAGAACACTTTAAACACATCATCTCAATCCAAAGAAAAAAATAGATTTTGTGGAACCAAGGCAGTTTGTGTTACAAAAGCAGTGCTTTGTATCATAAATACCCCACATTCTACTGTATCTATGAAACTGGCTGAAGTAGTATTTGGCCTAGTATATATTCTCATAATCTCTTTTCCTCTCCTGTTCTCCATTCTCCTCCAACATTATGAGAATTGAAAGTCACACTGAAAGTGTTTCCAATTAAAAAATGTATTCCTTTTCCACTCCCTCTCCCCTTTTCCTTGTTTTTATTTTTCTGTTCATTTTTGGCCAATTCCCATATTCCGGATCGACTCGTACCGCCCACCTGCGTTGCCGCCTGACCTCCTGACTCCCTGGTTGGCCACACCCATAATCGCTCCCTTCCTATTGGGCGGCTTACTTGATTGACATCCGTGTGCTTGATTGCTCTGGGTGCTTGGCCCCGCCCCCTGCAGTACAATGCCACTGTGTCAGTCCCAGACAGCAGTGGGCCCGAGCGGTACGTGCCACTCAGATACTCCAACCTCCAAGTCATATCAGCTCTGTTACTGCCAATATCAGAACTGTTTTAACATCCTTAATGTACAAACTACTCCCTTACTGCCATGAAACATGAGTATGATGCTGCCATGACTATCATTATTAACTTTTTTACTGTGTTCAAATGCCTTTTCTGTCATGCAAGGAGGCCCTTTCCCACCCTTTTTCCCCTCTCCTACGACAGAAACATTCTCTGAAGTAGCTTTTTGTGTACCTTTGGGAAATGTCCTTCCTCCACAGTTCTCATTTTTAAGGTTTCTTGCTAATACAAGGCTGAATTTATTGAGGGTGAAGGGGCAGTGTAAATTACATTTCTCCCTTTTGTCCGTTGTATTGTTTGACTTTTGAACTTTACTCCACTCCCGGTCTGTTCATCTGTCTCTGCTCTTCTCTGCTGGATCTGGAGCTCCTGCTTCATTCATGTTCATCTCTGCCATTGTCTCTGTCTCTCTCTGCACTTTGTCACCCCTCTATCAGTTTTAATCTCCCTCTGTCACGCTGCATATCTGACCTTCCCTGTATCTTGACATTTCAGCAACAGGAAGGAGCTTCAGTTTGTTTTTCTTTGTTTTCCTGTGTTCTCCACTCCCCTTTGACAAAGGAGTGCATGACTCCATGACTCTCTTTGGGGTCTGGTGTTCCCTCGCCTCACTGTTAAATGCACTAACAAAAGCACTGATGGTACTGTTTGTGTGTCTAATATCGGTTCTCTTCTCTCCTCTCGCGGAATGCGATTCATTACTTTGACAGAATCCTAAGCATCAGTGCCGATATTCCCACGGTGGCTGAGATATTGCTGAAGGTCATACCTACTCTGGAAGAGGTGAGATTTTTTTTTTCTTCCCAAAATTCAAATGAGTCATCAAAAATTATTATTTTTAATTGTTTGTACAGTATTGAAGTATGACTTTTAAAAATGAGTAATTTTATTAAAATATATACATTTATATATAAAATGTTTTCAAAAATGTTATTTTAAAAATGTAATTATATTATATTCTTCCCATTTTTTTTTTTTTTTTCAAAATATATTCCACACAGAGAAGTTCTACATGTGCAGTGGTTAAAACAATGCTTCCAAAAGACCCCTACCGAAAATTTTCAGTATGAATACATTAACCATTACACTCCTTGTATATAAAATTATCATTTTTAGACCCAATTTTTATATATGTTTTTTTTAAACATGACCAGCGTATTCATAAAAAAAGAAAAAGTTAAAAAAAACAACACAACCAATGTATATATATTTTTCAAAAAAAAAAAAAAAGTGTATCTGTAAATGTGTGTGTGTGTGTGTGTGTGCATATATATTATTACATTTGAATGACATATTGGATTCTCCTCTCTAATTGGTTGGAGCAGTATCAACATCATAATGATGTGGACTTTGACTGCGAACTGAGGATGCTCATCCATCAGAGTCTAGCTGGGAGCATCATTGGCGTGAAGGGCGCTAAGATTAAGGAACTTCGTGAAGTAAGACATTGATGAGAATTTTAACTATAGAATGAGTTTCCTGTGCTGATAAGTCTTTTTTTCTTTCTTCCAGAGCACCCAGACCACCATCAAGCTCTTTCAGGAGTGCTGTCCTCAGTCCACTGACCGCGTAGT